GTAAGCAATTAAAGAACAAAGAAAATAACTTTGAGCCTAATGTCAATCCATCTAGGAAAAAATGAATCTTTGAAAAATATGTTATGCATTTTAACACGGAAGCTCTATAAGTAAAAGACTTAAAGCAGATGACCATTGTAGCTACCTTAACAAGTAGATTCAATAACAAAAATTATCACTTAAGCTGACCTTATCTCTAGAGCCACTGGAGATGTTGTTTGACTTTTACTTATAGTCGAAAAATATATAAACACTGAAGTTACAATGAAAAACAATCAAGGTGAGAGAAGCTGATCCCTTCATTGATGGTCGAGGTGAGAGAGACTCATCATCCCTTTTCGATCATAAGAAAGGTAAAGATCTTTATGATCCTCCTTCAAGAGAGAGCAATATAAGGTTAAAAGCCCTAACAGAAAAAGAAACTATACCGCACTGAATACCTTTTGAGAGATGATTCTAATGCAAATTAAAAAAAATCTAAAGTTTAGATGGTCGAAGCTACTACACAAAACATGATGAGGGATTTGACCAAAAGATGTACCTTATATATAGATGTAGGTCATAATAAGAATGAGATTGAAGCTCTAATAGAAAAAGCTAACTAGAAAGGTATGTAGACTAATAAGACAAGGGCAAAATAGGTTAGACTATAAAAAAGACAACATAAAACTTAAAAAGAAAATAGACAAAAAAAAAACATAAGAAGAGAAGGTTAAAAAGATGAGTAGAGATAGGATGAAGGCTTAGTTATTGATAATAGATTGATTATTAGGGTAATCAATATGATCATTAGAGAAAGCTCCCATCTCAGCTAGGGTATGGTTATGGCCATTGGCTCATTGGTAAAAAAAAAAAAAAAAACTGAAAAGATGAATCGATCTCATTCAGTTTAAAAGATTTAAAAGAAATCCAATACCCTCATAATGATGCATAAGTGGTCATGGTCGTGGTATATAATTATGTAGTCAAAAGGATCTTGTATGATAATGAAAGCATGAGATTCTTAAATCATGTCACTATGAAAAATATAGGTATCAAAGGAAGACTAATTGTAATTGATCATCATGACTCTGATCGAATTTGAAATAAGCAAGTACTAGTTAAATAGATTATTAAATTATCGATCCTTTTTGGGAACAAATTTATGACAGTTATATCGATCATAGAATTCATGTTGTAGAGGTCTTATCTACCCATAATATGATATTGGGTAAAGCAAATCAAGTCTGTTATACGGCTTATAGGCTTCGTTCCCAAATTTGAAAGTAAAGTTTCCAAATGCCTCAAGGGGTTAGAGAGGTGAAAGGAGATCAGTTCATGGCACGATAATGTTATGTTACAATAATAAAATGAAAAGATTAGGAAATAGACTCATAGTTCAGGTAAGATCGAGAAAAAAAAGAAGAGAATGAAGCAATAGAGGCTGAAGATAAACAAGAAGTAAGGGTAAACACCTATACGATAAAAAACTAACTTGAGAGAAACGCACTCTAAGCCGTTATCATAAAGTATAAATCCATGGATCTTTTGCCTAGACATAGATTTTGGGGAGTCGCCATTAATATTTTTTATTTAGGTGTGATTGGCTACTTGACTAAATCTATTCTATCTAAATAGGAGTCCCAAGATTGACTTAGGTATCTTTAAATAGTATATTTTAGTCCACAAAAAATCAAAATTTTAGGTTCAGGAGCATGGTTACGTATGAGGAAGGTTATAGCACTCTATAGTGCCCATTCAAATGAATGGTATCAGTTTGATTTTAAATTATCCAAGCCTTAACCATATTTATGAATTTACCAAAGTATTTAATATTAAAAAATTGAATCTAAAATTACTCTAATAGTTTAGTAGCAATTTAAAAATAATTCTCTCACCTCAAGAGTAGTCATGGAGACTAGTGGTTTCACTCTGAAAAGACTCCATCTTGGGTTCAATTAAAATATTTTATTCAAGAAAATAATTAGTAAATCTTTTAATAGTTTAGTAAGATTTACTTTTGATGCAGATCTCCCAATAGTTTGGTGAGACTTTCTTGTAACTTTATTTTTTGAAAATACATTAAATCTTTCAATAGTTTGGTAAAACTTAATTTAATATGCAAATCCTCTAATAGTTGGGTAGGATCAAAAACAAAATATTAGCATAAATTTTTTATGAAAGTTGATTTTATGAGATTCTCTAATCAGTTTGATAGAATTTATAAAAAATTAAATTCATGAAAAATTTTCAAATATTTGGTAGGATTCATAAATTTATTTTGGAAACATTTTTTGTTTATTGTTTTTTTTATAAAATAAATAAGTAAAATTGAAATTTGTAAAGGTAAAAAAAAAATTGGTTTCAACTTAAAATAAGTAAAAATATAGTTAAGATAGAATAATAATAATAATAATAATAATAATAATAACAATAATAATATAATAAGTAAGATAAATAAATATATATATATTATATAATAAAAACTAATGAAACGGGTCAGACCTTGGAAGCAAGTTGCGTGTGGATTTCCAGAGTTACATGGGTTATTGCACCTTATCGTAAAATGACATCGTTTTGGATTAAGTATAAAAGGTGAAATTTTTTTTCAGTTTCTTCAAAGGCCCAAGATCCTTCCCTTTTTCTAACCTACAAAGTTTTCTCCCTATTTTTCTAAAAAAATGATGAACATAAAGAACAATCTTCAAAATTTCCCAGAACCTAGTTAAACCGCACTGTATCGCTATCGCACATTGTCATTTACCTCATCGACAAACCATCAAAAACTTCAACCAAACCCAAAAAATCTTAGAATAACCCAAAAAATTAAAGTTTTTCAGAATTCATCCAAAACTTCAACAAATTCCAATCGATTTCTAAAAACACAAACATGAATTCCAAAAGCCTAACAATTCAAATCCCAAAAACCCAGACTATTCTCAATTGTGGCAACAACCCAAACTCAGAGAGATAAAAAAAACCTCATATTCCTTCTTGAATTTATGTTTAATTTATAGATTTTAGCAATAATTTTAGGGTTTGAATAGATTTAACCGAGAGTCAAAAAAATAAAATGATCTTAATTAAGCTAGGATCAAAACTTTGTATGTAATAAGCGATAATGAGAATGATGTAAATGACACTAATTACTCAAATATGCATGTCCTATCTAAGATGCAAATGCATACCAAATGAAATTTCGATTGTGATACTAAAGTTCTCAATATTCTTTTTTTTGTATTCCAAATTCTACATATTTCTCACAAGGAGAATCAAATCCATTTTTCGTCACTCAAAATGGACACTCATCCTTATCTTTTAGGGGAATTTTCAAAACCAATATCTTTGAAGATTTTATCTTTTGCATTCCTCTCTTTCAAGTTTCTCAAAGTAATACACAATCTCTTATGACATTATTCAATTATTAACTATGATCCTAATTTTAAAATATAAGATGCAAATTATATATTTATTCTATTTATGGCAAAGTATAGAAAAAAAAAAGGCAAGAATATAAAGTGAGATATAGATAGAATGAAATGAATATAATTTATTTAGAGAAGAAGCAGGTTACAAATAACGATAATGGGACAACACAAAGGTATATAGATATGGCTATTTGAGACAACAATGTCTCAAGACAAACAATCAGATAATCATAACAACATATCTCAAAATTTTAAAAAACCCAACCATACGATGCCCATAACATTTTAGAGCCTTTTAACATATACCAATTTTTGGTTTTGATGAGCCTTATAGATAATGCTGTATCTTCCTTATCCAATTTGCCTTTACAGGTTTTTAACTTAGATAAAACTCTATTTAGTTCAAACCTGGTTTTTGACTTGAACTCTCATTTTCCTCT